TCAACACCATATGCGGGGGTGGGGGGGGGTGGGGGGGGGGTTACGTAGAACAAGTACACAAATAAAAAAATAATAATAAATCAGGTAATCATGTAGGGCATATATATCAAAATCAAGGCCCAGGGGCCAAATGTGGCCCTCATTGACATCTTATCTGGCCCCCAAGATGATATTTTAAATGTAAAATACTTTTATCACTTTAATTTTTTCAGTAATCTTTGATTATGATGTCAAAAGTACAACAGAGAACATCAAATGAGACCAATCAAACATTTGTTGAGGAACCTGCAACCAAGAAAAGATGTTGGGTATCTAACTTGAGTTAATGTAGATTCTGAAACCGGCCCTTAGTTTGAAAAAGGTTTTAATTTTGGGCCCCTTTTGCAGGTGAGTTTGACACCCCTGATAGTTTTTTTTTTTTTTTTTTTTGCAGCCTGAGGCTTCTTTTAGAAAAATAAAAACAACTAAATAAAGTGAGGAGTAACAATGCACTTGATAAATGATTTGTTAGGTTAATACAATGTGAAGTGTGTAGGATGTTGAGAAAGACAAAAACACAGAACAGTGTCTGAAAAGTACAGAGAGCAATGTTGTGTTCTATTTAAATGGTTTTTATGTATTTATTATCTCTTAAAGTGGAGTTGTTAATAAAATTGGAGTTTTTCGTTTCACAACTACTCACAGCATTTCTTTTTACTTTCTATGTGGGACTTCCAATCCATTTTGAAGTGCTGTTATTTGCAGAAGTGCTCAGATGAGTCTGGTGTGTCAGACGGACAAGTGACTATATTCATCGAACTGGAGGGCTGCTTTGTTGCATCGTGTGGCAACAACCAGCTTTCCTCAGCATAAACAAGACAAATAAGATGATTGTAGTTTACAGAATGAGCATACAAAAATCAGAGTGCTATTTCTATCCTGTGAGAAGAAGTGAGTCCGGTGAAGAAGATTATAAATACCTGACATTATACCTAATATTCACAACAAACTAGACTGAATACTAAGACACAACAAATGTCTACTTGAGGAGGTGCAGGTCCTTTGGTGTTTGCATTCAGATTGTGCAGATCATCGGCCTGTGGTGGAAAACGTACATTTGTTTTTACTCTGTTGTTGTGGCAGCAAAGTTAAACTGTGGAAAGTAGAAAGTTGCCCAATCTTCTTAACACGACAGACAACACTGATCACTGTGTTTTGGGAGATAATGAAAACCTTCAAGAGGTCATTTCTCCCACCACAACTCAAAATGACTCATCACAGTGATTATAGTTTGTACATGTTCCATCCACCCATCATCTTTACCCGCTTCTTCCTTTTCCGGTCATGGCGGTCACTGTTGCCCATGCCCAGCCATCACTGTGCGAGGGGCGGGGTACACCCTGGACAGGTCTCCAGTCCATCACAGGGACACAAAGAGACAAACGAGACAAACAATCACTCACTCACACCTAGGGACAATTTAGAGTTACCAATCAGCCTAACATGCACGTTTTTGGTCTGTGGGAAGAAACCAGAGTACCCAGAGAAAACCCACACATGCACAGAGAAAACATGCAAACTCCATCCAGAAAGGCCTTCGGCTGGGATTTGAACAATGACCTTCTCACTGAGAGGCAGCAGCTCTACCAACTGAGCCACCGTGCTGCTCGGTGTTTGTGTTGTGTAATCTTAATATCAATATGTCATACATTCAACAACATATATGCCCCAAATTATCTGCATAATGGTGTAGTTTTCATTGTCATCTGACAACATAAAAGTTCCCAGCTTCAATCTATACTGGGATAAGACTGAGAAGAAGGGTTTAAACTTCTCTCCCATTGACCACAGGGATAGGTTGTCCCCTTTGACTCTAACCACTTCTCTTCCGGGCGCCCAATATGGCAGCTCTCTGCTCCACACAGAGGGCTGTGGTAGCTCAGTGCTCTGTGACTGCATCAGAAAAGGCATCCGGCGTTAAAACAATTGCCAAGTCTTGTGTGAGTTAGTTTGTTGTGGTGACCACTGAGGAAGGGAGCGGCTGAAAGAAAGAAAAAAGTAGTCCAAAAAAACCTAACCGAAAAGGCCTTGAATAAGGTTTTTCATTTGTATCTTTATTTTTTTAAAGTATGTGTTTTTAGATAAAACAACACAGCTAAAACCATTGCACCAACGGATGATTTATGGAAAAAATAACCGAAAATCCCTGAATTTAATCAAGTTTTGACAGCTCCCCTGACCAATAAAATAGCTTTACAGTTGTAAATAAACGCATCTGCACCAATAGGAAACCATCTTTGTAGTTCAGTGAACGCTATTGGTTGGGTTGAACACGCGGATGTGACGTCACACTGCGCGGGACTGTCAAAAAATTGCTTCTGCGCCTGAACATTTCTCTGAGGTAATTGCTATGCTTATGGTATTTTCTGCTCGTTTTCCAGCTGACAGACGAATATAAAAACTTTGCAGCGATTTTTATTTGTTAGGGAACCTCTGTTTTTGGTTATCGGCTTCTAAAACGCAACGTGACAGTTTCTAAATTGGATTAACGCCGTGTTAAGCCAGACGGTGTAGATAAAATGACGGTGTAGCCTGTTTGCTAGTTAGCTGTCGGTACTCGGACTGATTTCAACCCCTCGTCTGTTTTGGACACTTTTACGTAGCTTTCAAATATACGTCCTTGGCTTGACCTGTTCAAGCGCTAACGTGTCACTCTGACTGCATTTTTTTTTACGTCCTAGACTAATTAGATCACGGGAAAAGTCACCCAAGCATGGAAAGTTATAGTCAGCGGTTCGAGTCCAGAACAGGACGAGACGGTAAAACTCCGAAGAAGAAAGGTGCTTCTCACCACACCACGTCGTATTGTGATGAAGGAGACCGCAAACCAAAGTTTGTAAGTATAAAAAATTAACACCTGTTCAGTTTTAATTGTACACAAAGCAGCTGATAAACTTAAACATTACCATTTTATTTTTCAACCCTTTCTGTGCCACTTATTTTTATCAAATGAGTGTTAGTGAAAACGGCAGTAGATACTGTATACACTTGCAAGTGGCAAAACTTAATGAACAAGAGTGCTTTAGCTTATAGTATAGAAAATAGTGTTATTGTCCTGTAAATAGCTGTTCTTTATTTGGACTCTGAGAATCAGCTCATCCAAATCTGAGGCCATGGTCCTCAGTCAGAAAAGGGTGGATTGGTCTCTTTGGGTCGAGGGTGAGGTTCTGCAACATGTGGAGCAGTTTAAGTGTCTCAGGGTTTTGTTCACAAGGGAGGGAAGAATGGACCGTGAGACTGACAGACAGATTGGTGCAGCGTCTGCAGTATTACGGACTCTGTGCCGTTCCGTTGTTGTAAAGAGGGAGCTGAGCTGTAAGGTAAAGCTCTCTATTTACTAGGGATGCACAATATTATCAGCATGGTACGATATTATCGGCATGGTATCGGCCGATATTAGCGATAAAGTTAAATATCGGCCATTCCATCAAAATAATTCACCGATATAAAAGGCACTGTTTTTTTTTTTTTTTGTAGCAGGTCAAATTGACGACCGTGCAGAATAATGTAGTATTTTAATTCCACAGCAGAGAAAGCTATGTAGTCTCTGTAACTAGGTTTAGGAAGAAAAATATTGGTATCGGTTATCGGCCAAACAAGTTTTAACACATCGGATATTGGCCAAAAATCCAATATTGTGCATCCCTACTATTTACCAATCAGTCATGTTCCTAACCTCACCTATGGCCATGAACTCTGGGCAGTGACCAAAAGAACAAGATCACGGATACGGGTGCTTCAAATGAGTTTCCTTTGCAGGGTAACTGAACTCTCCTTTTGAGATAAGGTGAGAAGTTTAGTTATCCCAGAGACACTCAGAGAAGAGCCGCTGCCCTTCCATATCTAGAGAAGCCAGTTGAGGTGGTTCGGGATGCTTTCTGGGCGTTTCCCTAGCAAGGTGCTTCAGGCATGTCTGACTGGGAGGAGACCCCAGGAACGACCCAGAACACACAGCAGGGACTACGTGTCTTGGTTGGCCTAGGAACGCCTTGGAGTACTCCCAGAATATCTGAAAGAGGTGGCTGTGGAACAAAATGTCTGGGCCTCCCCGCTCAAGCTGCTGCCCTCGAGACCCGGTTTTGGAAGATGTGGTTAATAATGGATGGATGGATTTATTTTGACAATCTAATTAAAAATAAATTTGAGTCAAATTATTCTTTGTAATTTAATTTTAGATTTTGAACAAGAACAAAACCAAAGTTCCATTAATTATCTTTACCTGCTACTTCCTTTTCAGGTCAACAATGGAATAAGTAGAGTCATCATCTAGAAACAGCTCTAACTGTGGTACAAGTACCACTGGTGGTACTCAAAATTCTTCTAGTGGTACTCAGAATAAATGGTATAAACTGTTTATAGGTGAAAAACAAGAAGCCTCCATAAGCTGAACTGTGATAAAAATAAAAAGCAGAGACGGCAAAAAGGATGAGTGTTCAAGTAATTTATGATCCGAGCTCTAAATGGAAACATAAGAGCATTGTTGTTTATTAAAAATTAAGTGCAATGTGCAAATTGTTTAATGTATATTAAAAATAAAGTCGAGGCTGATCTGGACTTCAGTGAATGTTTGTACCAGTGATCAGTTAAGCCACGCCTCTAATCTTTCTACAAAACCTGAAAGCAACAAAAGGCAAAACTGAGAAAAGTTGATTCATTAGCTCAGATTTGTTTTCAAATGCTGTTAGAAGAGGAAGAGCCATGACTGCTGTATATGTGGAGCTGTTCTCAACAACAAACACAAAACACACCAAAAACAACAGAATGATCATCATCATTTCTACCATGCCCTTCATCCAGGGTAGGCCTTGTGTTTTGGCTGGTTGTGCAGTTAGTCAGATGACTATGAGCTTATACTGCTGTGTTTTGATCACATTCATAATTGAGATTTAGTGTTTTCTGAGGTGGTTCTCGTACCAAATAGTTAGACACACAGATCTAACAAATGCCAGGTTGTCACTGAGCAATGCCCTCACAATATGTGTTTAATTATTCTGAAACAAACACAGTTAAGCTAAAAAGTTACTGTTTTCCTTCAGAACTTGACTGTTTTTTTCCCTTTGACTTTACATGTGGGCTTCCAAAAGTTAAAATTAGAACAGGGTTTAGCTAGCACTAATCCATGTGTTTCCTGCTACTACAAACCAATCAAGGTTCTGTCTGCACACGATTTGTCTACTTCCTCCCTTCTGGGAGATGTTGTTGTCTGGACAAATTGTCACAATTGTTGGGATACGTAGTATAGAGTCTGATCTATTAAATGGTTAAACTTTTATCTGCAGCACACACATGCCACTGTTTTTAGATAGAAATGTTGTGCATCACACAAATTTTCTTCACCTCTGTTTAACCCCTGTGTTGTGACCGTGTGAACACAAGGTAATTCCTTGTTGTCATTGCTCAGACACTCTAGTCTGGGTCTTCAGTAAAGACCTTTGCAGGGAAGTTTTTTTTTCAATCTAGACTGTTATTATCCACTTCCACGATGAGCTGTTGGTTAAATGTCCTACATTTTCTCCCCCTGATGGAAACACCTGCTCACTCTCTGTGATGACTGTGCTGTTGTGAATCTAAGTGGGGTTACAGGGTCACGTTGGTAGATGTGTAAAACATTTCAGATCGACTTGCAGTGTTAAACTTAGGCATTATATAAAGAACATATTAGGATTTATTAACTTAACCAGGCAGATCTTATTTATTGCAACTCTTTAAAATTTTCATAAAATTAAAATTCCTAAATTTAGACAAAGTGTTATGAATATCTAATTATAGGAAGTTGTGACTGTCAGATTTTCCCTTTGTTAGTTTTTCCACATTTCTTTGCACGTTACTACTGCGTACTTGTATATCAACACGTCGGCTCAATCAGGAATCAAGTGCTGTGACTTGGGTTTTGTAACATTTTAAAATATTTAACTTTTTTAATATTTTCCTGTAGAAATACACTGAGATCCCTTCAACACAAAACCCCCCCCCCCCCATTGTTCTCCTTAAAATCCTTTTCAGCAAACTTGATATTTTTTGTTTTATGCTACTTTGTGTTTTAGCCACCATTCTTCTACAAGCCTTTATATTCTAACAATGCACAAATCAGGTACAATGCTCCTTTATCTATTAATATCAAGACTTTACGATGTTATGTAGGTTTGCACCAACTGTTATCATCTGTTTACTGTTTGCAACCAACACATGTAGCATCCCCGCTCTGCTTCAGTGATATTCTCTTGCAAGTCCTCCGTCTTCCAGATTTTTTGTAGGCGATTATAAGACTCGTTTAGTAAAAGTGATATAGCTCAGAGGTATTTCCAAGCATCATATTTTCTACTGTTATGGTCAAAGGAAGATTAGATGGAGACTGATCATTATATGTATAACACTAACATTGTTACCTGTAAATGGTTGTTAGCATCCATGCACTTCTGAATTCAGCAATGCCTTTTTTTCCCTTTTAGTTTATTTTTTGTCTGCAGAACGTTTAAGGTTTAGGTGAAAAAGAGTTTCTCTGCCTGCAGAACATACCACTGTTGGCATACGTGCTCAACACACTATTTACTCTTTTTTTTTTTAATTTCAAAGTTTGGTGTTGACATCTGTCTGTCTTTGGATTTGGGCGGATTAAGACTTGTTGTTTATTTTGCTCTTACTGTAAAGTAATAACTGGTTGTCATCCTGAGTAGTTGGTTCATCTCCTGCTCCTCTCCACTGCACCACACACACAAACTAACAGCAGAGGAAAGAAACATAGAAATGCATAATCTGAAATAAAAGTTGGTAAAAAAATACAGGACAAAACTTCATGGATGATCATTTATGTGTTTTAAAGATTCATAATAATAAAACACAGAAGAAAAATGTTTGGCTTTTTGACAAACAAATTAATTAGAACCAAGCTGCAAGCGTTCTTATTAAAACAAGATGAAGAGCTGCCACCTTTTTTCTTTTCCATTCACTGTTGAAAAATTTCCTCACATTTGTGACAAAACCAAATGTGCTTCACACAACTCTCTTTACACCTGCATGCGTTATGAACACGAACAAAAAGGTGTGCACGCATTCCAGGATTAGGCCTTGCTTTCATTCATTAGTAAATTAGAAAAAAAGCTACCTAACTGAATACAAATTTTAAAGCAGACTCAAAAGAAAATCTTATTTTCTCTCATTTCTTTTATCCAATATTGTAAAAAAGTTTGCAACATAAAATAAAGTGAATTAAAAAAAAAAGTGATTTGGTGGTGATTGGGAAAATTAACCTGTTCATTTCTATCAAATAAATTTATATTCACTTAGTTGGCGCACATGCTTTTTACCTTGATTTGTTTTTTTCTGCTCCCCACTTTTAGAACTTGCCCTTTAGAAGCATCACAGACGATGTGGTAAGATATTGGAGTACATTTTCCTGTTGCTATCGGAGCCATTTAACATTGTTTTAATTTTAGATTAGAACAATTAATTTACTAATTTTGCATCGCATTGTTTTATTATGAAACATTCGGTTCAGTGACATCTGGGCAACGATAACTGTTTTAACTAACCAAAAAATTTTCTTTGCCAACAACTTTCATCACGATGTAGAAAGTACTTCACCCAGCATCTGTCAGGCAGCTGCTGAGGTTTTTTTAAAGTTGTTTTAACACAGTTCACACATATTTTAACACTGCTGTTTTCTGTTTTCTTTTTCCAACTAATAACCATTTAGATGTCTTTATAATCTGTCATATCTATCGTCGATGTCATTATTGCACAGAAAACTCATAACTTCATCTTTCTTTCCTTTTTAACTTGTTTGCGGTCATGAGGTTGTGTGTGAGTCGGCACAGAACAGCACAAACATTTCTTAAACCTAATTGTGTGTGTTTTTGTTTCTCTACAGCTGGACAGATTTGCCAGTATTCGAATACCAGGGAGTAAAAAGGAGAGACCACCCTTAACTCTGTCGAAACACAGCACAAGTGACTGGCCCACCGCTTCTACATCCACCCCGCATCATTTTGAGGAGCTGTCCTCAAAGATCACCTCAGAAAAAGAAATCCTGGCTCTGTTTGAAAAGATGATGGTACGTTTCATTTTTATGACACAAAATTGTTAATATTCTTTATTACAAGTAAACCAGAAATGGGTGGAATGCCCCCTCCTGGTCACTTGGGAGTCTTTCCCTCAGGTGGAGGAGTTTAAGTATCTGGTAGTCTTGATTGTAAGTGATGGTAAGATCAGATAGGAGATGGATCAACAGATCCGGGTCTTGTCCTCACCTCAGTAATGAATGTGTTGGTTCAGTCGGTCGTGGTGAAAGCGTTGAGTTTGAAGGCAAATCTGTTGATTTACTGGTTCGTCTACCTTCACCTGAGGTCATGAGGGTTCGATCGTGACCAAAAGAACTGGATACAAGAAGCTGAAACGAGCTTCCTTCCAAGCTGGGCTTGGAGTAGAGCTGCTGCTCCGCAGCATCGAAATGAGTCACTTGAGGTGGTTTGGGCATCTCATGGACGTTACCCTTTGAAGGTGTTTTGGGCATATTCCACTATGAAGGGAACCTGGGGCAGTCCCACAACTTGCTGGATGGATTGTGCATCCTCTCTGACCTGGGAACACCTTTGGATCCCCCCAGGAGAAGCTGGAGAGTGTCACTGATGAGAGAGATGCCTTGGTTTCTCTCCTGGATCTGTTGCCTCTGCAGCCTGACTGCAGATAATTGGTTGGAGATGGAGAAGCAAATGATCTTGATGGGGATGCACAGTATGCCACAAATTAATGCTTGTGATGGCCAAGTGTCTGTCTGATAGCCAGGGGTCTGTTCATGATGACAACCCTAAAAACTACAGGAAAAACGAGTCTTTACGAAGTCAGGAACAGCAACATTTCAGCCACACAGATGTTGATCTTGTAGAGATGGAATCTGTTTACATTTTAAAATGACCTGAGAAATGCTTCTTTGAGCTGAGCTTCATGTCTTCTTCTTGGCAAGCAACTTCTTATTGTGATCAAAGTCTTCTTATATCTGACCTGACTCCTCTTGAATGTTTTGGTGTCAACAAAAGACAACAGATTTCAGGGTGCATTCTCCATATTTTGTTTAAATGGACAGTTCTGTATATAACATATTAAAACTTAAAAAAAAAGTAGAATGCAGTTTTTCACATACTAAAATATATCTTAGTCACCAACTCTGAAATTTCAGTCTTAGACCAAAGTGAGTCTTGTTGCATGTGGTGAAGTTTTGCTCTGAATTTTTTTGTTTTTAATTCTTTTCAGGAGGACATGAACTTGAATGAGGACAAAAAGGCGCCTTTGAGGGAAAAGGGCCTCAACATGAAGCGAGAAATGGTCATCCAGTATATGTTCACAGCCTCCAAAACGGTGAGTTTAAAATTATGCCAATAGTGTTATTAATTTATTTGGAACAAATAAATAACAATTAAGAAAAATCTTTAAACTTCACTAAAAAGCAGATGATATTTTAGAGAAACTAGCTTATAATCATCCTAACAAGATAAATGTTTTGGAACAGTCATCAACAAATCATGAACAGTTTCACAGGATGTTGAGACAAGGGATTTATAGATCTGCATAAAGTTTTGCTGCAACATTTCCGCAGCAGGCAAGAAGTTGGAAACTCACAAAGAACTAGGGCTAGGCGATATGGACCAAAATTAATATCTCAATATTTTTGCAAAAATCGCGATATACGATAAATATCTCAATATTTTTTCTTTCCATAAAGTAATAAGAAAAATATATTTGAGTCAAAGTTTTGTCCCAATTGTCACACAGGCACATTTATTAACAACAGCTGTAACTGTACAAAATAAATGCCTAAAAATAAACTATTTACATATATTAAATAGTTTATTTTTAGACATATATTTGCATATATTAAATAATAATCCTCTTCAGCTGGGGACAGCTGTGGTTGAGAGGCTAGAGTAGTCGTCCTTCAATGGGAGAGTTGGGGGTTCGATTCCACCAGCAGTCACATGTTGAAGTGTCCCTGGGCAAGACACTGAACACCTCATTGCCTCTGATGTGTGTCCCATCAGTGTGTGAATGTGATAAAGCTCTGATTATTCTTTGTAGAGATCTAGTAGATTGTATGAGTGGGTAAATGAGGGTACAGATTGTGTAGTAAAGAGCTTTGAGTGTTTTGATAAGACAGAAAGGCACTTTATAGTCCATTCAGCTCTGCCACCTTCACGTTAGTAAGTGTGTGTGAACTGCGGTAGTGAGCCCCCACTGGGAACCTTGAAGCTGCAGGTCCGACAGACCTGTCTCGTTCCCTGAAATAAACCACGGTTCAGAACTCATTTAGCCGTGCTCTGCCTTTCAGAGGAACAGAGAGAGATAGCGCGACATTAATAAATCAGCAGTTTATCATATAGCTAAGACACGGTCCCGTCAGCTGTGGAACAAGACGGCTAAAGTGTTAGCCGTCTTGTTAGCCGCTAAGGACCGTATCTTTATCTTTATTTCAGGAAAGGAGACAGGTCTGTCGGACCTGCAGCTTCACACACACTCAGCTGCTCGTGTTTACTTCTGCTGAACGTCTCCTCTCCTGCCCGCCCACCTCCTGGAGAAGCATGAAGGGGAGGGGGAGCGCGGCTGGGGGCTGTGCGTTTGTGTTCAAGGAGGGGGGGCGAGTGGGAGAAAGAAGACGGCAGGATTTCCAAGTATAAAACTATATTGTTTTATAGCAAGATGGTCTCAACTTATATCGCAAAAAATGTTATCTCGATATTTTTTAAATATTGAGATATCGCCCAGCTCTACAAAGAAGGTATCCAAAAACACATTTTAGTGGTGTACTGTAACAATAGTAAAGGTTAACGAGTTCCCAGCTTGAATAATATGACTGATTTACAATAAATAAATAAAACTGCTAAAAACAACTTTGTGGGAAGCCTCAAGATTTCACCTTTACAGTAAACGGAACTTTTGTTTACACCTTGGTGCTGACAAGACTTTCACTTACTTTTTTCACATCTGTGTCATAAACAGTCATTAGATATTTTTAACTTAAATTATTACACTCCCACCACCAGATTTTATCATGCATATTTGGCGGACTCAGTTATGGGATGCTTTTTTAGTTTTATTGATTGCACATAAAAAGCTTTAAACAAAGCATTTAGCCATTCTTTGTTTATTAAATGTTGAATTCTTAGACATTATGAAATTGTATTGTGTTTCTCTGTGAACCAGTGTTGCCTCTACCATTGTCTGAGGAGGGTGGCACGCCCTCCCACCCCACCATAAAGATTGCGGTATAAAGAAAATTAATAAATGTCCTTACATGTTTCCACATGACCAATTCTTTGTGGTGGAGTCACCAAAGCAGATACATTATTACCCACTTCACAGTGCTGCCTCTTCCCTGGGACTTTGTATCTAAAATTTACTTTTGTTATAAATATTCATGTGTTCAGAGTGGAGTGTCATCATTAGCATACAGACACGTCTGACTTGTGCACGCCACCAAACCCCCGCCAGCAGAGAGTACGCGGTTGGACGGCTGTGGCTGAGTGGTTAGAGCAGTCGTCCTCCAATTCCACCAGCATTTACATGCCAAAGTGTCTCTGGGCAAGACATTGAGCCCCTCATTTTCTCCGATGTGTGTCCCATTGGTGTATGAATGTGATCTATAGCACTGATTTCCTGATGCATGCTCAATAATCCAGGTAGAAAAATCTAAAAATGTTACATCTGGTCCTCTGGACATAAAAAAAACCCCCAAACAAAACAATTGTAGAAACATTTTGTCTTTCATCCAAAAGACTTCCTCAGTCTGAGGAGCTGTATTCATCTCAGTCTCTTAAATAGCACCTTCTCAGAGTGGATCAACCAGTTTGCTGCTGACAACCAAAACCAGCTGCTCACATGGTCAAGAAGGACCATCAGCCTAACGATGGATCATTAGCACCCTGATGGCTGTTTACTATTCACAGGGGGCTGAGTGATACTAGCAATAACAGTATTGTAAGAGGGGGACAGTTGAACCCGGAGGCCTCCACCCCTGTTTAATGATGGATGGTTTCTTTTCACAAATATGGCCTCCTTTACTCCTCTCTCAAACCATCGTTCCTCTCTTTCAAGGATGTGAACATCTTCATCCCTGAAAGAGTACAGCACTGATTTTCTTTTAATTTTGCTTTACTCATTTGAACCGGTTTTTGGTTTATTTCACGAAAAGCTGATATGCATCCATTTGAGTTCCATCTTGTAAGGCACCAAAACAAAAAAGCCCAGTGGTAAGAAAACTTTTACAAGGCACCGTAGGATGCGGTATTGTTAGATAGACTTTTTGAGAGACAATTTCCATGCATGTTGCTCCTCAAGATAATTGCTGACCTTTGACAGAGTACTCTGTAGCAGGAGTTGTCTTGAAATAACCACTGCACCTCTTTGAGACCCCTGTTTTGATTTGGCTGCAATGCTCCTGCTGTGTAGGAAATTGTTTTTCCTCAATTTGCCTTTATAACAGCAAGACAAATTTTGCTGATATATTCCTTTTTAGTCTCGTATCTTAACAATATCAGATTTACTAAAAAGAGAAATGTATTTCTTAACATTACATGTATTGTTAATCTTGCAAATAATAAATCCTGTGTTATTTGTGTTTGTGTTTTTAGAACCAGCAAAGTTTAGACATTAATCAGAAAAGTTTTATTATTTGGCTAGAGTCAAGAAAACATTTGAGGAAGGACCATATTCCCCAAGGGCAGAGATGCTTTTAGGTAATAATGTAGTTTTACTGGGTGGGCATGTTCCCCGTTTACAAAGGTTGAAATCCTTGTCGTATATACCCATTTCCTTGGTCAAAGAAAAGTTCCTAGTGCCACCCTTTTTTGTGTGTAACATTTAGCAGATAAAGACTCATAAGCGTGCCAGTAGCTGAGATGGGTAATATATTTGCACAGTCTTTCATATCCTAGAATACAGTTAAACTTGAAGAACTGTTTTAGATTAGTGCACTTTTCTCTCACTGCTCCTTTGTATGAACAGCCAAATCAATAACATACAGATATTTAATTAGATCAACTTTAAAGTTTAGAGGTGCTCAAAAATATAGAGAAGCCTGCTTACTGGAACAAAAAAAAAAAATTAATCAAGTGAAACATTCAGTTCATAAAATAACTCAAGGGTAACGACATAAAAAAATCAATTTGTTTAAATTATGTGTCCTATAGACACAATTAAAGAAAGAAAAGTATTGATTGTTCCTTTGTGTTTCTATATAATCACTTCTAAAATAATATTTTCTAAAAAGATGGAAAATTATGGAGAAAAAAAACAATTTCCATTTTAATTAAAATAAACAGTGCAAGTTCTTTCATTAACTGCATGGTTCTGTTGCGTGTACCTCAGGTCTGGAATACCTCATTGTCTTTACAGTAATTCAAAATTGTATTATCACATTCAACAATGTTAAGTCAGGTCATCTGGACTTTGGTGTATTATTACATATATGGAACATGTTATGGCAAAATTCACTTTCCTGTTCAACACCTAACAGAAGGGGTAAGTGATGATACCTGATATAAGTGCATCTCCAGGAAATATGCAACATTTTAACAGTAAAGAAAATACAATTCTGAACATTTTATTTGTGACTGAAGGTAGCAATTTTTTTCAAATTTTTTTTTTAATTCCACTGTATGATGCCAATGTGAATCTATTACTTCAAGGTCCCTGCAACAGAAGTCATACAGTGCAAAAGTAAGCATTAAGTTAAATCCAGTCACTATAGTGTTCTAGGTTAGGATTTTCATTATAAGTAGAAGCGGCATATTCCATTAATTAAAAATAATTTAAATACTTTAAATTTCTTATCCAAAAAAATTAGGACAAGAAGACTGGTCTTTTTTGTTTCTGGTATAAGCACCATCCCAAACTTTTCTTGAGTTGCTTTGTTCATACAAGCTGAACTGATTATAATCGCTCTCCTGGGGGTTGTTAAAGGAGTATCTCACTGGGCTGTGACTCACTGGCAAGCAGCATTCATCAGGGAGTCTTCACAGAGTCTTGTGACGTTCATGATGGTTCTCAAGTTTTCTCTCAAAATGGACCTGAAATCATTGCGGGCATCTCCAACCCCTGTTATATTCCCATAACTGAGTCTCCAACTGTGCCAGTCCAGTAAGATACCACATTATAGAGTTTTTATTAACTGAGCCAACTTTGGGGATGTTTTGGTTACATGCATGGAGGGGTGAACTGGTGTGACATGCCTCTTCCTGACCTTTTGATAACTGCTTCTATGTTTTGTACAATTTGTTTTCCTTTGGGCTACTCATAGCCAGCTCTGTCCTTTTCTTGTGCATCCATTGCCTGTTTGTACTCCATAGGTTTATAGCTTGAAATGATGAAACAAGTTTGTGTTACCATCTTTAGCAATAATGAACACTTGCACATTTAAAAAAATTGTGTGAATTGTTGGAAGTCTGACGTCTTGTAGCCAACCCCCTTTTGTAATTCTAAAGCAGCATCAATTTTAGGTACAACGTTGTCAGTGGAGGCTAACGCACTCTATGTACTAATTGTACACGTAGTCTATGTACTAATGACTCCATTGGAGTGATTTTTGAGTTGTTCTTTTTGAGTAATTGATTAACCAATTACTTTTTTTGAATAATTAGCATGGAGCTCTCACGAATTTCTAAAGAACCATAAAAAAGTAGCTGCTGCGTTGTTTCCTACTGAAGTAGATTCTCCTAACAGTGGTGTTTTTATTGGTTGCATGGAAGAGGTCATTCTAATCACCTTCAATGGAATTAAGGTTTAGGTCTGAGAAGTGGCCTTGAGATGACTCAGTATATTGTCGTCTTTTCTGTTCAATTTGCATTACAAGCATTCTACTTGTACAAGACTCAGAGAGCCTTATAGTCCCCTTTGCGAAAGTTATTGTAGACTCCCTCTACAGGGCAGGTCAGAGGGTGCCCCATTAAAATGATGCCAAGTGAATCTCTTCTAAACTACATGAGCTGGAATTATGAGCTTTTTGGCAGTGTTCTTGACTCATTTTATTTCTGACTTTACATTCTTTTTGTCTCTTCAGTTACTTTGAATCTTTTAAAGTGAGTACTTGAAGACGGAGCCATAAAGGATCTTTTTATCACAAAGAAAGAAGCTTGTACAGAATGATAAAACCACAAATAATGACAATTGTTTACCAAGGCTGGGGAGAAAATAATAAAATTGCACTTTGAATGATGTTTTAGACCCAAAATATGATCGATTTGAGGAGTCACAGACGTTATGAGCATTGCTTAGTGCAAATACATTATGATTTGGAAGCACTTTTATTGCTGTTTATCTATTTAAACTAGTTTACAAGTCAGTAGTAGTAGTATTATCTCAACACTATTTTCTAAAGTTGAAACGCATATAAAACAGGTGAAAATACCATTTTTTTTAAACATATATTGTCTGTAGTTTATCTTTATTGTTTATCAATACTGCTGCCTGCAGTGTCAGTATCAATAAATCATGCATGGTGCATCCATACCAGAAACATTTGATCTCACTCTTCTTACCTTTTGGCCTCACATTTTAATTATATTTCATATGACCTTGATAAAAGGGATGTTTCCTTCCTTTTTCTTTTAGGGTAACCTAAGAAACAGCCATCAGATATCTCCCCAGGAATTCCTTGGTGAGCTGAAGTCAGGCGTGATGGACGAACGGCTGTTTGCATGTCTAGACTCACTGCGAGTGTCTCTTACCAGCAACCCTGTCAGGTAGAGTACCGTATATGGTTCATGTCAAACAATCGCAATTTACTCTCTGTACATTGACATAATTTTTCTGTGTAATGTTTTATATAACTTTGTCTTCACATTACTCATCCAACCAAGAGTGTTATTTGCATCCAAGTTTTTTTTTAATCCCATTTCAGTTCTTTTGGAAAGAGTTAAAAATAGGGATGCACCGATCCACTTTTTTAAATTTTATTTTATTTTTTTTTACTTCCGATCCCAATAACTAAGTCTGGATATCGGCCGATACGGAGACCACTCTATCATTATTTGATTTTATATGAGGCTGTACTAATTTCCATTCTATAGGCAAGTACAATTGGTACATGCATTCCAAAAAGGCAACTTGAGGTAACATCCTGATGCATGCTCAATAATCCAGGTAGAAAAATCCAAAAAAGTTAAATCTGGTCCTCTGGACATTCAAAAAAACCAAAAAAAAAAACAAAACAAAGCCAAAAAACGTAGAAACGTTTCGTCTCTCATACGAAAGACTACCTCAGTCTGAGGTGCAGTATTCAGCTCATTTTGTTTTATTTTGAATGTCCAGAGGACCAGATTGAACTTTTTTGGAACTTGAGGTACGTTTTATTAATGTTGGACAAGTTTCAAAGTTAGAATTAAATCCTGCTAACACAAAACATGTTTGTTTTTTATTCCTAGCTTGAAAGTGGATATTAAAGTGATTAAATGGCTTTAAACATCTGCTAAGTTCATGGCATAAACCAACACAGACGCATTCCTGTATTTTTTAGTATTTTACATCACTTTATAATGTAGTTGTGTTTGTTTAGTTTTAAATATATATATATATATATATATATATATATATATATATATATATATACACACACTAGGGCTGCAACTAACGATTATTTCAATGATCAATTCATCGGCCGATTATTTTTTTAGATTAATGGATGAATCGGCAAAAAAAAATACAAAACAGAGAGAAGAGTTTAACCTGGATTAAAAGTGTGGATCATTGTAGTGAAGCCTTCGTCTTCAACCATCGACAGAGGCCTCGTGTCAGTGACGATCATTTAAGGATGATTTCAGTGAAGACAGCTGCTGCTGTGGTGTCCATGATGTCTGTCCATCATGAAGGCTGCTGTTGTTTGTTGTTGTTTTCTGGAATGAGAGAGTTTATACGTATTATAACAACATTTACAGCAACTCAAGAAATGCTTTGTTTCACTTACAGTGTTAGGTTCAGGCAAAAGTAGCTAAAACAGCAATTAAACACACACACACACACACACACACACACACATATGTATATAATACTTAATTCCACACATTTGAGTAGATGTAATAAATTACTTTAATCCCTGTTTAAATGCAATTCATCCTGCCATACCTGCATTATCTTCAGACTTTGCCAGCAAATTAAAAGTTGAAGCTTAATCATTAAATTATTATCTTTGTGTTAGATTTATTTATAAATCACATTTAAACACTGCTTGTACCAATTAAATAAAAAGTAACACACGTTCTCTATCACCGTCATTAATCAGCAAACAAACAAGCAGCAGCTTCATCTACCAGAGCAGCAGCTTCATCTACCAGACAGACTGACGTTACGTTTTCTCATTTGGAAACAGAACAATGTGTTAAATTGTAGAGACTCACCTGCAACACACGAGTTGGGAGTGAGACGCCTTGAAAGACGCTTAATCGCGTGACACAACGAATCGATAATGAAATTTGTTGCCAACGCTTTTAATCATCGATTTTTAGTGATTTTATCGATTCATTGTTGCAGCCCTAATATATACCCTGTATATAATTTTCTTGTATTTTTTCCAATTCATATGCTTTTTTATTATTGTCTACTATTGTACTGATAAATATCTCGTGAAGGGTAAACTATATCTTGGCTGCAAGTATCAACTACGAAATCCTTCGTTTTCTACAGCTGACAGCGGTTGGTCATTAATTACGATGAAGTTTAGCAACTTCCCGGTAAACATTCAAGTTCCGTGGCTTCAGCGATGTCTGAAGCAGAAAGTCTGATTTCGATCACTACGCTCAGTCTGCCCCTCCTCCAAGACGGGCAGACTGAGTGGGGCAGATTGAGCGCAGCTGACCGAAATCAGACTGCCTGCTTCAGACTGAATGAGAAGAACACACCGCTGAAGCCACGGAGCTCGAATGTCCAATGTAAAACTAACTTTACCGCAGCTTAATGTAGTGCTATGTTTGATTAAGTTTGTTGTATTGTAGGTCACAACGAAGCTTCCTCCACTCGGTACAGCGGCTCTGCAGACATTGCATGTTGCTGTCTTGCTTTGTGGTGTTTCTAGTGTAAAATACTTCCACACAGTGGACATGTCTTGATGAAAAGTTGGTTAGCTATTAGCCACAGTGCTGTTCACTCATGTTGTAGCTGGCTGCAAACTATGAAATGGATTTCCTGAACATGAGGTGGGTCTTATTACTCTGGGTTTCATGAGACAAGCCTCCATTCAATCCATTCCATAGTTTGAAACCAACTTGCAAAGCAGCCGACAGGCAATCACATGTGGAGATTTTGCATCAGACACGGACATGCTTCATGGATCGGAAATCTCTGCAGATTGGCTCGGGAAAATCTGATACGTTAGTTATGCTGGTATCGGACGCCAATACCGGATCGGCCCCATCCCTAATTATAAACATGTTAATAGCATACATCCCTAATTATAAACATGTTAATAGCATACATCCCTAATTATAAACATGTTAATAGCATACATGACCACTGTGTTAGTATTGTTTTGGTGTAGTATTTGTATTTGGAATTGGAGGTTACTTTTCTTCTACAGTAAAATCAATTGATTTAACTAAAATTGAGACCATTCAGCGTCACTTTTGGACATTGTAACCATTTGTCTATTCCTGTTCATTTTATTCCCTGCTGCTTATACATGGTCAGATTGCAGAAGCAACAAGCTTAGGAAGGAAACTCAGACATCTCAACTCTGAAACACACTCCAGCTCTTTTGTAGGGGTTCTCATGCCAGAGAAGATACATCCAACCAGTTCTGGGTCAGCCCCAGAGTCTCCCAGTGGGGCGTCCTTGAACTACCTTCCAAAGAAGGTGCCCAGAACACATCCTTGTTGTATGCCTGAACCACCTCAACTGACTCCTTTTGATGTGGAGGAGCAGCGGCTCTTCTCCGATCTCCCTTCTATTGCATGAGCTCCTACCTTATCTTTGAAACTAAGCCATGCCACCTTATGGAGGAAGCCTTTTTCAGCCACTTGTGTCCAGAGCTCTTTCTTTTGGCGATAATTCATAGCTCATGACCAAAAGTCAGGTTTACAACATAGATGGCCCAGTAAATTGACAGCCTTGCCTTTCAGCCTATGTTCTCCACCATGACAGACGGTACCAGTGCCCTCATTACTGTAAATGAGACACCAGTCTATGATCCATCTCCTGCCTCATCCTACCCTCAATGGTGAACAAGATTCCCAGATACTTGAACTCCATTCCACCTTTTTCAGGTTAAAATTACAGCCTCAGTCTTGGAGGAAGCTTAGAGGATTGCAACATTCTAACCAACTTATTATTAATTACAACATTGATTATAGAATCAATATGATCAATGACGATTTTGCTCAGTTGTATGTCTGTGGGTTGGTCTTTTTCTATTACGGATGTATCTATATTGAGCAAACTAAATTACTCTTGCAGTAAAATCGACTCCTTTGTCTTTCAGAATTAGTTTTTTTTTCCTGATTGGATTCTTAACATCTGTCTTTGACAGCAGTAGATCCATTCAGCAAGACTGGAATAAAACGTTTCTACACTTTGCCAAAAATAGCTTTTTTAAGTTGACACTGGAGCAAGGGCCAGTAGTGTCTTGTGACTGCCCATAACAAATTCTGTTTTTATCCTCACATGCTGGTTCAGATTGCTCCCATCAGATTGTAGTGTTATTTTAAATGCATCTGTTTCAGCTGACTTGCAGGTTGTGCTTCATTAGTTCAACTTGTGCATGAATCCAGGGTCGTAGAGATCTGGTTAGAGGTTAGAGAAGGCAAGCCTGTGACTGGAAGATAACCAGTTCAAATCTACCTGTCAGTTACATCAAGATGTAGATAGGAAAGGTGAAGCAACCACATCTACATCCACCCTCATTTGCCTCACCCTTGAGCAAAGCCCTTAAACCCCCCCCCCCCCCCCCATCTGTTCCCCTGGCACCCTAGATGGCAGCCCTCTGCTCCACACATGTGGGCTGTGGTAGCTCAGTGGTTTTTAGTTGCAAGAAGGGCATCCTGACCTTGCTTAAAAACAATTGGCATATCCTTTTGTGAGTTCCCTTGCTGTGGTGACCCCTGAAAAAGGAAGTAGCCGAAAAGAGAATTGTTTAAAAATATTAATATGTAGAAATATATATTTTTTTTAAATGAGGTCAGTTTATATTGACCATGACTGGTTTATTATAGAAATAAAAGCATAAAACATGTAAGAAGAGGGGGGATAAGGAACAGTATATACATATTTATTTAAAATTTATGTATTTGTCAGGTTTGTTTATAACGCTAAATACATTTTGCCTGCAGCTATATGTTGTTCTTGTTGTCATAGCTTTACCACTTCTTTTTTTTTATTTTAAAACCAATCATTTGTTGTACACGCATCATCTTCTAACATCTTCCCTCTTTTCTGTGTTGCAGTAATTTCAGTAAAAGTGACAGTTGCCAAAAAAATGTTGCTGATAGACACTGATGTTTGATGAGGGCACCACTGATCAGACTCTCAGGCTCAAGTTTATTGACAAAAGTATGGACTGGACCATAACTCTGGCTTGACTAGAAACAGCAGCAACCTCTAGCTATCTAATAGCACCATTAAAGTCCTGAATTGGTGGATTGATTTAGAAGTAAAGACTTTTTGTCTGCTGCAGCTTTTGGATGCTGATCAGTGTCACTTTCTTGGCAATGATGCAAACAGCTGTCACACATTCTCTCAATCGAAAGTTTGCACCCTG